CCAGCTAGAAAGTTACCTAAGTACCTACAATATACACTCCTATAATATAGACTCTATTGTAACTGGAAGGGAAATAAGAATTAGAATGGGGAAGGGGGCAGGGAAGGTCACAGTCTAAGAGCAAAAGCAAAAGTAAAACCAGGAAAATGTGCCTCGTGGAAGCTGACATGTTTCTAGGTTGAGAGGAAGAAGCCAAAGATCAAGGTGAGAAGGTGACTGATGGAGGGGATTGGATCAAGGGCACCACCATAATGGGACTGGAACCTGGGCAAGAAGGCAAGGGGTAGGTATGGATACAGAAAAGATGGCAGTAGGGAGATGGAGAAGCCAGGGAGATGAGACCTTATGTCTTCCATGTTTGGATGGTACCCTGCTCCAAGAAAGAGGGTGGAAATTAGATAAGGGATGTGAGTCTAATGCAACAGATATGAATAGCTGCTAAGAGAAATGGGGAAGAGAAGTGATCAAATATAAATGGAACAATTGGTAATTGGTTTTAAAGACTGATGAGATTTCTTTAATCTATCAGAACTGTTATTCAGTTAAAGGAAGAAATAGATTTATAATTGCATCTATATTATATTTGTAGGGGACTTAAAACGCTTTGGTCCACCATTTTATACTCAGTTATTCTATTTATTTTTATTTGGAGTAGGGGCATTTTTAAAAGATTGAATTAACTATTATAGATGTTAAATGAGGGTAGAGGAAAAATAACTCATACAATCTGGGAAAAAAATATTCTGTCCTCAAATACCCATGAAAAATGGATCTGAGGAGAGAGATGCTTTCACCAAAATGAGTTCCCAGGCTATACTAAAATTGACTGTAACCTAAATGAAGGTGTTAACCTACTTAAAGAAAAGAATTTTAATCTGAAGGACCAATTAAAATTGGTCTTGAAACAAAACAAAGGAATGAGTCACTCTAGGCATTGTTTAGCATGGTGTGCCCAAGGCTGGCCAGGGCTCTGCTAACTAGCAACAGTTGTGGTGGGGGTGTGATGTCATATCAAAATCATTTGAACTCTGTGCCCCCTAAACTGGTTTATTTCTAGTGACTTTATATTTGCAATTAAGGGTAGCTGCCACTTGATGGCAAAAGTGCTTGGATCTGTCAGGGATAAACAATTATCAGAAAGATCTTGTCAGAGAAAAATTTCAATCTGGAATAACCAGAATATTAATCAACTTGGGTATCTCCCACATGACAGACACTATAGTTAGTGGAGACTAAGACCCTCCCCATGAAAGTTTGCAGGATGGTCTCTTGCTGAGGCATTTGGACTTGTTCTTTTTTAATCAGAACAGACCCATCAAGCTCCTGCTCTGGACCTGTTCATCCTAATTCTGACCCGTTTCTGATCATATGTGGGACATTCGGGTTCTATGCGAATTTGAACACTCATGATACATTTTCTTTTTTTTAAAGATTTTTTTTATTTTTTATTGGGGAATTGGGGAGGGGAACAGTGTTGGGGAATTGGGAAAGGGGAACATTGTGTTTTTCCAGGATCCATCAGCTCCAAATCAAGTTGTTGTCCTTCATTCTTAGTTGTGGAGGGTGCAGCTCAGCTCCAAGTCCAGTTGCTGCTTTGAATCTAGTTGTGTGGGGGGGACGTATGTAGTCCACCATCCCATGCGGGAGTTGAACTGGCAACCTTGTTGCACACTGAGCCATCCGGTAGCCCCTAGGCAGCTCGCCGCTGCTCAGCTCAAGGTGCCGTGTTCAAACTTAGTTGCCGGTGGGCATAGCCCACCATCCCATGTAGGTGTCCAACCAGCAACCTTGCTGCTAAGAGCATGTGCTCTCACCAGCTCAGCAGCAGCTCAGCTCGGGTGCAGCTCACTGGCCAATGCAGGAGTCGAACCCACAACCTTGTTGTTAGGAGCATGTACTCTCATCAGCTGAGCTATCCTGCCACCTGTTGGCAACTTCAGTGGCAGCTCAGCTCGGGCGCAGCTCCACAATTCGATGTGGGAATCGAACCGACGACCCTATTGCTCAGAGCTCGTGCTTTTAACCAACTGAGCCACTCGGCCAGCCCTCATGGTACATTTTCAACATTTCGCTTCAAGGGGCTAGCCTGTATTTCTTTAAATATCATAAATTTAACCAGTTGGAGTTTTCTACATGCCCTATGAACCAATGAGGGGAATTAAATTCAGAGATATATTTTATCCCAACCCATATGAGCTGCTGGGTGAACTGAACACTTAACTCTAGGTCTATTTCTTCGTTAAGTTTCTAGGAAGGAATCACCCACCACCTGTCCTCCCTGATTTCCTACTGCTGAGACCAAGGAAGGATGTTGACGTAGTGCAGTATTTTTACCTTGAAGTGAATGTGGCTGGTAAACAAAGAGATGTAGGGCCTTCTTGGAACAAGAGATGCCAGCACTGGTTCTCTGTCAAAATTGTCTTCTAGGGAACATCTTAAGAGTTGTGTCAAGCCTCAGGCATGGCTTCTGTCCGGAGTGCATACCTCTTAGAGTAATTCTCCTCATCCCATTCCCGCCCTCTCTCTCTATAGTTGATCCTCGGTGGCCCATCTTCCCAGGGTAATTATGTCAGAAGGGTGTCATTAGTTTGGCTTAACTGATGGCTTGGGAGACAACATTTAGTAATACCAGAAACGCACACCCTCTTACAGTGAGTTCACGTTAACAAGTCCAGTTTTGTTACTGTTGATTTTTATCATCATGAGCCCGAGTGCTTCCTCCTTAAAACAAGATTTGATGTGTCTTCATTTTTCCTGAGGCCTCCAGAGAAAGCTGTCGCAACAGTATTTTCAGAAAATGTCCCATGTGTATAGTCATGTTTTTTAACATTTTGACTAGCTCATATGCCTGTGTGTGTTTCCTGTAGGGTCCAGTTTTCGGTGCCTTCCAAGGGACCCATAGCTAATAAATTACATTTATTTGTGAAAACATGAGAGTCTCGCTCCCCATCCAAGCAGCTCTGCCAATTAAAGTATCTTTTCAAAGTGAAGCACCTACCTAACCTGAAGCAGTGATGCAGTGTTGAGGGTTCTAGGTGAAGACAGGTATGAGTCTAAACCACTGAGCAAGTTTTAGGATGGTGGGTATATGTTATTACTTGCGTTCAGCTGCAAGTAGCAGAGACCCAACCACAGGAACTTAACCGAATAGAAATCTATTTTTGCCTAGGTAGCAAGAAGTCTGAAGGTCATTCAGGACTCAAAAAAATCATCACAGTTGCTTCTGGCTGCTTGCTCTGCTGTCCTTAGCATGTGGTTCTCATCCAAAAAGGAGGGAGGAGAAAGAGCAAAAGGAGTCTGTCCTCTTATTAATCAGAAAAATAATAGCTTTCCGAGAAGTCTCACCCAGACGACTTCTAATTTCAAGGGCCAGAACTAGGCTATATGCCGCCCTTAGCTACAAGGGATGCTGGAGAGAGAAATATTTTTTACTGGGCACATCGCTGCCTTGGACAAAATTGGAGTTTCGCTGGCATGGAAGAAGCTTAATGCATAGGCAGCGAGGCCTGCAGAGCCACATGACAGCTTTCCAGTCCAGCTTGAGGTGACTGCCTGAGTGCCTTCTAAACATCAGTATTGTGGCTCGAGTCCTGTGATAGAATGAACTTCGTCCTTACATTGTGTGTGTAGGAGTGGCGCTGATGGGTGGGTTATGCCTTTCCATTCTGATAAAGAACAGTGGCCTCTTCTTGGTCTTTCACAAAAAAGATCTTTGACTTATAATGTGCTGAATGCAAATGCCATGAAAGGACCATCCCCCCAACCCCCCAAAGTTCTTTGCCTTATCAGTATGATAGACCCCAAGGACGACCACAGACAGAAATCCCTCAGAGCTGGATTATTCAACTCCTCACTTTGCCTCACTTTCTGTTTCTTTAATGCTCAAAAGAGCTTTTTTTTTTTTTCCCCCAGGATTATTCCTTTGGGCCTGGGACGTTTTCTCTAGCTTTTCTTTTGTTAGTATAGCTCTTTCTTCACCCTGTCGGGTTGGTTCCAGTTCACAGTTAAGTTGTATCCCTAATATTTCCTCCTGGGGAAACAACTGAGGTGCATGTCACTTTAAGAGCCAGTGTCACCCTGCACATTTTTATGTACTTATAAAACCGTGAATGGTCATTTTTCATGTGTTTAGTTTAATTTCCTATTCTAGGGCTCTAGGACAGAGCGTCAAACTAGTTAGATGTGAGCAAATTACATAGAATCTGACTCCCTTCAGCCTCAGGGTAGGGGGTAGAGCCTGGGCAGCCAGCATCCCTCCCTGTCATCCGAAATTGTAAGCGTCTCTTCCATTTACGCCTGTGTGCCTGTAAATATTACCATTTTCTATATAGCGTGTGGTCAGAAAGCTTGGAAAAGGGTGCTTTCGGGCCTATTCTTGGGCCCTGTCCTGTCTATCCTTCACCCAGACAAAAGTCTAAACCTGTCCCTTTTCTTTTCTTGTATTGGTTTGAGGCCTACTACCTTTGGCGTTTTGTAAAGATTTTCCTAGCAGACCTGATGACTTGGTTGGTGTCTCCTGGACACTGTTCTTGGCAAACCTGAGTCTTGACTCAGTTTCATAGGTTAATGTTCCTTTTTTCCCCATCCCGTCTTCTTTCTTATCTTCTCCCAGCTTCCTTTTCTTTTTATAAAGCATTTTATAGATGGGAGTTCAACCGCTTTCTTATACATCAGCCCATCATGAAAGCTGCAGCAATTGTATGCCCTTTGTTCTTTGTAGTCTTGCCTTGTGGCAACATTAACCAACCTGGCGAAGCCCAGAGATGACACCTTCTTTCCATCCCAAGCCCCACTTTCCGCCCCAGTTCTCCTGTATAAATGCAAGTACGGAAATTCAGGGTAATTATCTGCTGGGAGGTAGTCATTAATAACACTGTTCATTAATATTTCCCCTTTATCTTTTTTACATTTATCTTAGAACTTGTATTAGTCTTTGAGCGAAGGAAGGACAAAGAGGTTATAATTAAGCTGAAAAGTGTTTCTTTGGTTTTTTTTTTCAGATGAGAATTCTCCAGCCAACTTCTGGGATTCGAAAAACAGGGGTGTGACTGGAACACAAAAAGGGCAAATTGTATGGAGAATTGAGCCCGGGCCCTATTTCATGGAACGTAAGTAACTAAGTGTGAAATGTAAGTTTGTTATTGAACATTGCATAAGTATGCAGAAATCTATGGAGCCCTGTCTGAACGTTATTTTAAAAGTTTTTTGATTTGATTTATTTATTTATGCCATGTAGCCTCGAACTGGAAAAAAATTGTTTTAGAAAATGCTCATTAGAGAATGTCCACGTATTTTTTAAAAAGTATGTGTGTGTGTGTATGTGTACATACATATATTATGTATACCTTGTGAATGTATGGTACATAAGTTATGTATGGTTATTTTAATACTTTACACATTTTTATATACTCTTGTATCTACATTTGTAGTTAATATTTAATTATATTAATTTTAGGGAGCATAAAGAATAATTCAAAATTTAAAAATTCAACTTAATTTAAAAATTTTATTTGTTAACTTTACTATTATTTTTCCCAGTAGCAGAATAACATTTGCATGTGGGTCCTGGCCTTTACAAGTATAAATATGATAGTCTGGGGCTGCTAGGTCAGTTTACTAGGAATTGGAAATTGGCTGCAGATAATTCAACCAATGCCCAGTTTATCTGATGTTATATTTATTTGTAAATACAAATTCTTATATATAGTACATGGTTCACAGGAATATCTCATCCTTTTTTATTTTGGATGAAGGAGAGTATTTATATTTGCCACTAATATTATTGAGAACATAATAAATACATTCTTGTGGAGTAGCTAGAAGCATGAATAAATAAATGATTTACTGGTTTGTCCTGGTTAACTTTTCTACCTTTTATAGAATTTTTCTTTAATGTAGGAAAAATGGGCTCTTTAAAAATGTGCTGAGTTGTTTAGCTCTGTGTAAGAATTAAGTTTTCTATATGCAGGGGATTTAATATAAGAGAATATGTGTATACTAGTACAAGGATGGTACTTATTAAACCTTAAAATATAAAGTAAGTTTTGATTAAATAGAAACCCGCTATAAGCATGTCTTTATTGAAGCATGTAAAACTTCTGTCATATAAAAGCTGTTTTAAAAGATTAACATCTATTACTTTGAATTGCTATTAAAGGCATCAGATAATTTTTCCACATTTTTACTGATAGGTCAGCATTCTAGAGCTTTCTCTAATCCTGTCTTTGCCCCCTAAGGAATGTCTTCTTTTCATAGTTTAATTTCTGGCTAGATTCCCTCTTTAAACCTTAAATGGAATGGAATTTTTGAGGGAATTTCCTCATGATATGTCAATAAGTGAGGCGGAGTGCAGATACATATAGCACAATCCCAATTATTGGGTTGTCGGAAAAGTCATTACGTATTTTTTCAGTTTTTTGTTGCAAAAATGCGTTATGACTTTTCCAGCAACCCAATAATATCATAACATATAGGAAAAAGTCTAGAAGGATATTTGCCAAAAATGTGAACAAGGGTTGTTTCTGGGAGATGAGAAACATTTTATGCGTGATTTGTTTTTCTTGCCTATTTCTACTTTTCCTTCCTTTCCAACATTGGCCCAGCTGGCATTACTATCTAAGTAATGAGAAAAATAAATGATAAAAGAGTGTGGGAAAAAATGGAATGGGAAATAGCTGTGTTTACTCTCAGCGTGATTCCTCCTTTTGAAAGGATCCCAGGGTTTAAGAGGCTGATCTGGCTGAAAAATATTGCCAACTGAACTTCAGGTGAAACAACCTTCCATTTTTCTCCAGAAAGCTGCGAGGAATGACTGGCTCTTGATGGAGTGTGCAGATTCATATTACGGGGCCCATGTGAACACCTGGGGAGAAGTCAGTATCATATGCTACCATAATTTGGAACATTATGTGTGTGGGGGGAAAAAAACATTTATAGAGTATCTCATTTTCCATGATTGATGTTCTTCTCCCCTCAAAAGTGTTAGAGGGTTCATAAGGTCCTGGAGGATGAGGGTATACTATCTGTCTCAACAAATGTTTCTCCTTACTCCTCACTCTGGTAGTTAATAGAAATGGGCTTGACACTGAAGCTAGGAATTGGAAATGAAGAAAAGAGTAGGGTTTCTTTTTCTTTTCTCCTCTAATTTAGCATTTCCTCCTTAATCCTTCCTACACAAAATTGGGAATATCGTGTTACATGATTGTAAAACTGGAAATATTCAGTAATGTATTTTTTAAGGTCTGAGAAAATTTGTGTAAGTTAATGTCCTGGACCGTGGATATGAATTATAGAAAGATTTGGCTTTATAATAGGTTTATTTTTGTTAATCAGAATAAGGTCTGTCCAACACACGTTTCTACGCTTTCAATATCCATTTAATGTAAAAACCTCAGGTGGTATTTATATGAGTGCTTAGAAATATAGTCCTTAGACATATTTTTTTACCCCATGTCAGTCTAAAGCAGACTTAAGGGGACTTCACAGCATAATGAAATTGTTCTTGAATCTTTGAACTCATGGTATGAAACTTAAAAAAAAAAATTGAGGGTAGGGTGGGTCATGTTAGACAGCTTCTATATTTATGAAGCTATCAGATCTTCAGTGTTTTGGGTGATTGTGTCCACAAAATCTGCTTTGCACAACTCAGAATAAGTTTATTTTATAGCTTTAGGGATTCTAAATTTGTCACCGGGGTAGGAGATGTTTGTTATAGCAAGGAATAAAGTAACAACCCAAATGGGTCAGCTAGCGCAGTTGGCCTGGCTATCAATAGTCTACGAATAAAAATAACCAGCCACTTTTTTGTCTCATAGTCTGTTACCTAGCTGACTAGTTAGAACTTTGGAAAAGAGGAAGTGGCATCATAACTTGAAAGAGAGTTCAGGGAAGATGTCTTATAAAAAGGCACTTCTTCTTATTGAAAAATGAGCTGCTTACTTGCTAACCACTGATTAGATCTTTGAGGTACTGCTGCGGGCAGATTCACAGACTGCTGGTCTCCAGCCTTCAGAGTGACACTAATGAGCTCATGCCCGCAGAATTCAACGCGCATGCTCATCGCCTAGCTGCTTCTGCGTTGACAGGCCTTCTGCATGCTGCTTAGCTTTGTTCTTGCACATTACATGCCCTTGGTCTTGGAAGAAAGCAAGTGGGAGAGTAAGGTTTACTTAGATCTACACAGTTATTACCATTTCAGTAATGATCAAAAACGCTTGTTAGTGTTCAGGAAAGTCATTTATGGGGTGTTCTCAGGGACACCTGAGTGAAGGCGAGAAATAAGGCTAGAGTTCCTGCATAGGTCACTTTGCTGTCCCTCAAGCTCTGTGTGCTCGACTCTGCTTCCCTGCTTTTGCCTCACTCCTCACTCCTAACCCTCCCTACCCCCATTTTTCTCCCCTGTAGGTGTGAGTCCTGACCTGTGTGTTCTGTGAGCCTTTCTGACTCCTCCATTATGTCCTCACTAAACTCTGTCGTCTGCACAGTCTTTTCTATCCAGCGGTCTGCTGTTTTAGTGTTTGTCCCTGTGTTTTGTCAAGCCTGTGATTGTCATCCCAGCAGCTCCACTATAAGTCGCCTGCCAGACCAGAAACCTTTCTTTGATTCTCTTGCACTGTCTGGCATAGTGCTGAGCTTGTGTTGTGGTGGGCACATGGTAAAAATCTTTTGCTTGACGATGCTAACTGCATTTTGAATCACTGCTTAGCAGTTAACGTACGTAATGGAAAGATTCAATATTTGACCTCATGACAGACTTTATTTTAGTATTTAATCATTGGTAGGAAAAGTGTAATAATATAAATCCCTAAAAGGGGACTTTTCTTTAATCATTATATTTTTCTATTAAAATAAGTGAACTGAATACTCTATAGGCAATAATTTGGTGCAATCGGGAGAGTCAGTGGAAGATTAACTTCCTTGGGAAAGTACATCGAGTGGCCCCACTTTAATAACGCAGGTGACTCAGTTGAGAGAAGAACTGCACTTCTGTAGGTTAGGACTCTCCCTGGGGCCTGCCCATCAGCAGCATTGCCTATATTGATTGACACCTTGGAAAAAAAATGCATTTTGCAGTGACACTTGATTGACGTAGATGCTCTGTATACAGATAGATTCAAGTGTCTCTGTGTTTTATCTTTGACACATTCTGGCTTCATGGTCTTTGAAATTGTAGTTACTTTCCAGAATCAATAATTGGCATTTTATTGCTTTTTATCAAGTTCAAATTATATATATATATATATATGTATATATATATATGTGTGTGTATATATATATATATACACACACACACACACACATATGTGTGTATATATGTAATATGTATGAAAATACACACATACCTTTGGATATATATACCGGGAGTGCCAAAAAAATGTATACGAGTGGACAGTTTGGTCAACATTGCTTAAGCAGTAGTTCGCCATAATCAGAAGTTTCTGGACGTTAATGATAACCACTTTGAGCACCTCTTGTAATTGCAGAAGTCAAACATGACTTTGTATTCATCTTTTGTTATCGGTATATATTAAGTATTACAATTTTGATAGTTTTTGCTTTCTTAAATAGTTTTTTCCTTCCTTTCTTTTTTCCTGTACATTCTTTTGGCTCTCTCTCTCTCTCTCTCTCTCTCTCTCTCTCTCTCCATCTCCACATATATCTGTATCTTCTATCTATCTATCTACCAATCTATCAATCAATCATCTATCATCTATCCACATATTGGCATATGTACCAGTGGTTCCTAAATTTGATCACTGCCTAGTGGCTGTGTTTAAGTCACTTGGAAATTTAAAATAATACAGATAACCAGACCCTATCATTGCATAGTCTCCGACAGTATTTTTTTTGTACTTGTTAAACTACTTTGTTTGTATTTCCATGAACAGCTGCGAGCTCTCTATATTGTAGGGGTCAAAAGTGAGGGCTTTGGAATCAGACAGACTGGGTTTGAGTCCTGACTCTGTCATTTCCTGTTTGTTTGACCTTCCGCAAATCTCAGTGCTTCATCTGCAACATGGAGACAGGAATTTCTGCCTCCCAAAGTTGATGTGAGGGTTAAATAACAGCAGTAGAGACATAGCACTGTGTCTGGTGCATTGTGGTACACCCCAGTAAATGGTAGCTCATTTTAGTCTTGTCTCTACACTATTTTTTGGCATGTTTTTGTGCATTATTTTTTTTAATACATTTCGGACGTTCATAGCAAATTCCAGAGAAGTGTGTCAAATCAAACAGGAAATGGTATAATCAATCTGTTGCCTCTGATTGGAAAAGGAAGAATTATTCAAAGAGTGATGAGTAGGACTTTCTGAGAGGTGGTGTGGCGAATTTCCTCAGCTGATTCCTAAATGACTTCTTGTTTCGGTGTTTACATTACTGTTTTTCTCCAATCGGTTTGCAGCGGAGATAAAAATCTGTTTTAAATACTACCACGGCATTAGTGGAGCGCTGCGAGCCACCACGCCCTGCATCACCGTGAAGAACCCGGCTGTGATGGTGAGTGCCTCTCTTTGCAGCCTTCCTCACGAGGTCCCCGGGGCCTGATTTCTATTTTTGCCGGTGCAGCTCTGGCAGGGTTACCGGGGAACAATGAAAAAGGAAGCGCAGGACAGCGTGGGCGCCGTTTTAGTAAAGGAAATAAGTTACAGGCTGGTGTACCTGCATCCATAATACAAATCAGTGGGAAAATAGGATTTGATTTATAAGAATTCTGTGTGTAGTCCACTCTTCAGGGAAACCGCTCATGAAGCAAATTAGTGAGTGCCCTACCATGGAAGGGTTTTTAAACTTAGTCTGGGTGACTGGTTGATAGGAAACAGTGGCATTGCATCTTATGTGAATTTAATTTATTACATGAACTCAGTGGGTAAAAGGGAGAATAATAATGATTTAAATAGTCTGTGATTGAACTTGCCAGTCAACTTAATGAACTTTCACCCCGAAGAGAGAGTGAGATGGGTATCATGAATGTGCTGTTCCCCCAGGAGGCCTTAGGCTGGACCCCCATTGATGCTGAGCTGGGGTCTAGTGCCTAAAAATACCACACATATTTTTGGTATAACAGGGTCACTCAACAGAGGCCAAACCTCTTCATCAGGTGCTCAAATGAAGAAAGAGATATTTAACTTACTTTTGGAGGATATGGGTTTTGTTGGACTGTTAAAGGAAAGTATGCCCGTTTCCAGCATGGTGCTCTTTTAAGGATTACTTTTCACAATTTTGTGAATTTTCACTCTACCTACTAACTTTAGAATTTAATGGCTTCACAAGATGCATGCCATTGTACATGGGTAGTTGGACTCAGATGGTCTGGGGAGATCCTTGAGTGTAAGATATGTAAATCATTCCAGTTTTTATTAGTCATTAACAAAAATCAGGTTGTGATTTTTATCTCCTTTGAATAGAAGACAAATATTGACTGCCATAATATAGAACCTTCATAACATTATGTGTTTACATTTATAGATGCACGAATTTTGGGATATAGGCAAGTGACCAGGTTGACTCTCTGAAATTCAGAAAGTAACCTTTGCAGATGGCATTTTGCAATTGTCCAGACCCACCGATGCTCTATCAAGCAGGCTTTCCCTTTCATTTTTCCTTTCAAACAAATATTTATTGGGTGCCATCTAAGTAGCAGGCTTTGTACCCACCACTGGGGATGAAATGATATGCAAAAAACATAGTCCTTGTTCTCATTGATCTGAGGGGGGAGAGTGACATCAATTAAATTAAAATGTATTTATTTGAGTGATAATCACCCTGGGGGAGAGTGAAATGGGGCTATGAGAGCATATATTAATAGGGTTTATCCTGAAAGGAAGGGCTTAGAAGGCTTCCCTGAAGAAAGTGTGTTTGCACAGCAATCTGAGGGTGGGTAGGAGTTACTTAGGTGAAGAGAGGGAGAGAAGAGCATTCTAGGAAGAGGAAACAGTATGTGCAAAATTTTCAATATCTAAGTACTCTGCTTCCATATGGATTATATTTGAGTTCCCATTGTAGTAAACATAGTATAGCATTAGAAAAAAGAAACCCACATTTACTACAAAAGACTTTGACGGTCACAAGGAGAATAACAGTTATTGACTACAAAGTCTGCCACGTCACCTAGTAAACACTGGACGATGCTTTAATTAATGTTCTAAAAAGAAAAATTTCAAAACTAGAACTGTGGGGCTGTTTGTAATAAAACCTTTGAAAAATTAACTGTGTGAAATCAGACAATAGCTTCCAAACACTTATTTTATGGATTCAGATTTTTTTTAGGCTTGAGCAATTTCAATGATAAGGTATCACCGAATGGAGCCAGAGTTTACAGCCTGGCGACCACTGATCTTATTCCATGATTTTCGCATTGAGATTACTCTGTCAAATCCCATGGATAGTTTGGAGATAATTAATTTGCTTCAGACAGATTTTTAGAGTGCCTTAAAAGTTTCATTGATACTGCACAGGCAATCAGAATCGCTTATTGTGGTTCAAACGCTGACTGATGGAATTGATGACCAATAGACTTTTGACCAAGCTTGAGTCTGTTTGTTGGGCCTGTATCCCAAATTGAGAGACACTTCATTGTGGGGGCGAGTGCTGTGTTTATATCACAACATGATGGTCACCAAGGAATATGGCACGTGTTTAGTTCTTGAGACTGATTAACAACATTGATATTCACCAAGCCCGGCTAGTATGATTATTCCACAAGCAGGTGCAAAGAATAGTCCGAGAAGACATAACTGAGAACCTTCCTAGAGAAGGAAAGGAGCTGCCATCCTAGTCATATGGTCTCCTTTCTCACATATCCTCTTGCAATGAACGAGTCAAGGATATAAAACATTGTGTCTTCTCTGTCGTTGGCACTTTGACATCATTGTCATTCATCAGAGTACCCTGTGATGTGTATCTCAGACACTTGGAGCAGGAAATCCTTCGGCTTCAGGGACTGATAAAGGCTACCATCACTCACTACCATGTATTGTCTCATTACTTGGTTGATGGTGTTGCTCCTGGTTTTTCCTGGAATGAATCTATGGAGTGAGTTTAAGACCCTCTCTCTAAACAGTGTGTGCAGATGTGTTTATTATCATTGATGTCCCTATATCTAGTAATAATATTTGGTTTTGCCTAGCTTCACTGTCATCAGTGATAAAATTAAATTCCTTGAGTATTATTTCAGATGAGCATTTTGCCACAGTTGTAGTATAAGGACAGTTTATCTGTGACGTCTGTGAGAATTGTTTCACATTAAGCCTTTTTCTAGACAGTGAATTACATTTTTAAAAGAGAATTCAAGGGCATTTTCTTTTGTTTCTATAATATGTTACAATATTTTAAATAGGTTTTAAATGAAGATAATGAATCTTTTCAGTCTCATTTAACTCACTGATCATGAGTATCCCTTAGTAGGAAGAGACGTCATGTCTTTGGGGTTGGTACAACTCGTGGGGCAGTTTGGTCCATTTGAGGGGATGCCATGGTTTATCAGATGTCTGGTGTACCCAGGGCACAGGACGGGTAGGTTACTGGGTGTCTGCCCCAGATGTAGTGTGTATACCTCATCATTCACCACTCTCATCCAGGATTGTGTGTGGTGAAAGCAGGATGAGATAGTGACAGCCATCAGTTGTCTGACCAGTTTGCTGTTGTCCCTGCTCCAGTTAACCTGGGGATGGTGAGTCGGAGGGGTGTCACACAATGTAATAAACCATACATACTTGTTGAGAGCCAACTCAGTGTCAAAGGGGTTGGTTTTATGGATGGAATGAAATAAAGATACCTGGATGGTACCCTAGCATATTGCAAATGACATGTGAAACAATCAGGAAGCAGTTAAGTGTCGCACAGAATTGTTTGACTAAGTTACAGAAAGTAGAGAAGGAAGTAGAAATATATATATTTCAAAATTTGAATGGAATTTATTTTTAAATTTTCAACTTTTCTTGGATGAGCAAAAGTTTCTTTCTTGGTGGCATATGATTTTTAAAGGAGTGTTGTGGGTGCCACAAGATAAGATGGAAGGGTTTAATTTAAATTTAAAATTAAAATGTGTTCTATTTCCCAACTACTCAAAATTTATCCTCTTTCAATTCTGTCTCTTGCAGTATTGTGGACTTTTTTATTATTAAATTTATTGGAGTGACATTGGTTAGTAAAATTATATAGGTTTCAAGTGTACATTTCTATAATACATCATCTATATATCACATTGTGTGTTCAGCACCTAGAGACAGAAGAGGGAAAAGGGGATCAAATATATGGCAATGGAAGGAGAACTTTTATTTTTAGACAACCATGAAACTCTTTTTCTTCTAGTCTACCATAAATTCAGCACTAATTGTACATAAATTGAGAGAAAGGCCAAGTCTGCTATGTGGTCTATAAATGACTGGTTTCAAGTGAGATATAATTTACTCAAAAGCTCTTAGGAAAAGCTTCACAATACAATAATCAGTACAATAGCATTGCAAATTCTTATAGCTAATTATAATAGCATGTGCCATGTACCTGTAGAACAATTAAATAGGAGCCTGGGTAGGGCAATGGGACATCCACGTGGTCCATTCAGAAATATTTGGCAAGAAAGGGTAATTCTACATATATATGGAAGAGTATGATATAAATCACCTGTTTAGTTTATTCTAGGTTTTCCTAACAAATATGAAGGAATTTGATGTTTGATTTTTAACTTAAGGAATGTTTTAATATAGTAATAGCAATGTAAGTACATTTATTACATATTAACTACATATTAACTATGGAAGAAATAAAAGGACACAAAGCAAGCTGATTCACATATCCCAGGGAATCTAGAAGCTCATGTTGATTTCATTTGGGGTAAAGATTAAGTTTGGGTATGATCCTTTCCCTCATCTCCGAGAATCTCAATTCCAAGATTTGTAGCATATGAAAAGACGTATACTAAATACAGGTTTGATACAAAAATCACCGAATATGTGAACATATATGGTTCCCTAGGGACGTTGAATAACATCATATCCTGTGAAACTTGAGATATGTGTTTTTCTCTGCAGATGGGGGCAGAAGGCATGGAAGGAGGTGCTTCAGGAAGTCAGCATTCTCGGAAACTCGGCAGCTTTACATTGTCAGGTAAGGATTTCTTTAAACGTGATGTCCAGTTTAAAAGTGTGCAATTTCAAAGGCAGGAATAGTCGCTTCTTTCCACAGATTCTCATATATGATATGTAAACTAGTTATTTATTTGAGGATAAAATACTTCTGAAATTGAAGTAGATCTCTACCTTGATAAAATTAGATTACTTATATATAAGCTCAGAAAGTACCGTATTTCCCCATGTATAAGATGCACCCTTTTTCAAAAAATTTGGGGTCTTATAAAAACTGGGTACGTCTTATACAGTGGTGGTAGATTTTTTTAACTTGCATTTCCCGCTTTTTTCCCCATGCTCATACAACCACTGTATAAGACGCACCCAGTTTTTAGACCCCAAATTTTTCGAAAAGGGGTGCATCGTATACATGGGGAAATACGATATTTCTTATAACAAGTTTTCAGGTGATAAAAAGACTATAATTATGAGGGCCGGCCGAGTGGCTCAGTTGGTTAAGAGCTCGCTCAAGAGTTTGAGCTCTGAGCAACAGCAGTTTGATTCCCAGCCTGAGCTGAGCAGCCGCTGAACTGCCAACAGGTGGCAGGATGGCTCAGCTTAAAAAAATAAATAAATAAAAGACTATAACTATGTATAATTACTTTAAAAAAAACATAATGTATTATAATATGTGCTAACCCCACTGTTGGGCTTTGATGATTGGTTGGAAACAACTGTGCTTACTTCATCTGGAGAAAGGAAAGATTTGGAGACTAGGAAAAAAAAGCCAAGGGATACTCCTATTTCTGTGGAGGAATACACAGAAAAATTGGAAAATGGATAAGACTTTTTTCTTTCAATTTTTTGGCTAGTAAAATATTCTAATTGCTTGTTTGTTTACCATAAAACTAAAGTACTGCTTTTCAGGTTGTGAGTTGGAACTCATTTGTGGTTTATAAGATTAATTTAGTTGAAACTAACAATTTAAAAAATAATAGAAGAAAATCCAAGTTTACCACCAAAGGGAAATACTTTTCATAGAACATCAGTTTATAGAAACTGAAAATTTTTTACACAGAAAGTATACACTCCCATGTATGTGTGTACTAGGTTTCAATGTAAAATGTATTTCATATGTAGGTCACCGTCAAAAAAGTTTGAAATCCACTGATTTTTTTTTTAAAGACTTTATTGGAGAACTGGGGGGAGGGGAACAGCGTTGGGGAATTGGGGAAGGGGAACAGACAAGTAGACAAATTGCTGTTTTTGTTCTTTAGTCTAGTTGTAGAGGACGTCACTTCACTGGCCCATGTTGGTATGATCATTGTGCTCTCCCTGGGTGAGGCAATCGGTCGCCAATCATTGGTCGGCTGCTCACAGCAGCTTCTGGCAGCTCACACTGGCTACCAGCCACTCATGCTGGCTACCAGCCGCTCACGTAGCTCACAGCCGCCCACTGCAGCCCCGCTGTGGCCTACGCCATTGCCGGCGACTCACAGCAGCCCAGCTCCAGGTCGAGCTATTGTTCATCATCTTAGGTGTAGAGGGCGCAGCGTCACTGGCCCTCAATGTGGGATCCGAACCGCGGCCCTGCTGCTCAGAGCTGGCATCCCAAGCAAGCTCTTAACCAGCTGAGCCACTCGGCCGGCCCTCATCCGGAATTCTTAACATAGGTCCTCTTGTCTAAATTTCTCAATCTTTGCCAACATATTAAACTGCTTCCCTCTCCTGCCAGCTATGTGTCATTAGACAGTCCTGGTCTGTTTTCATCACACAGATATGTAGGTCACAAGCTCTTGTTGACCTAGATGAGGAGATGAGCCCCCTCAAGGGAGCATTCACTAGAGCATGTGGTTCTATGGGTAACCCCAGGCCAGTTCTGTTCTTTTAAGAAGGACTTTGTGTTTCAGAAATGGGATGAAGTAGGATGACTGGCGACCTCCTATAATTTAAGAACACTCTACAGGGTCTCAACCCCAACTGATCTGGGTAATCCAATGGTCTTAGAAGATTCAGAGGCCATCCGCAGAATTTCTACCAGAACCAATGTTCAGGACATCTCTAGATTGATCATAACTTTATAAAGCTACCTAGAAACAGTCTATTCTTCAGAAGCTGTCAGGCCGACCTTATTTAAACTGATATTCTCAGAAAGGTGCTGGGGACTCAGCGAAGCCAGCTTTATTTCCTGACATTTTTGTATCCCCTACCTCGCCACTTTAAAAAGTGTCAACCTCTTCACTAACCAGACTTTAGGCAGAACTTTTACCAGCCCACATAATGTGAAATAACAACTGGTGAATCTCAGATGACTTATGGGACATTCATCAGATATTTAAGTTACTTAACAGGCTATTGAAAAAGTAACCGCACAATTATTTAATATAGCAGGTAGCATTCAAATTTTAGGAATATTTCCGGTCTCCATTTTTCCCCAAGCATTCATTATATTTGTGGAATATATATGACATTTTAAATGTGGCACAACTGTGTGCTCGGAAGTTTCATTCCCAATTAAACTTAGGTTATGCATGTCATATATTGGGTTGTCGGAAAAATCATAACACATTTTGCAACAAAAAACGTAGAAAAAATATGTCATGACTTTTCCGACAACCAATATGTATGTAGATGATTTATGTTTCTCTCATGAAGGAACATACTGGTTTTCTTTTTTGAAGTGATTGGTTTACTAGGGATCTCTCTCAAGACATTATTTGAAATGCTAGTTGCCAAACCACATAGAAAAAGGTGGTGAAGATGCATGTGTTAGAATCAGAATGGTTCTCAGGAAATCACTTGAGGTGTGTAAGCTGGTGTTTAACAGTTTACCTTCTTTTTTGCAACCTGTTAGGAGCCCTCTCTGCTGGAATTAATCATGACCCACTTGTCCTCACTGATCTAAGCAATCATAGTGTGAATAACTTTGTTATTGTTTTACCAAATAGTTTCTGTGTAGTTTCCTGTGTGACTATTTAAAATCAAATTGTCATTGAGCTGCTTGTCCTTCTGTCCCTTCCTCTCCCTCTTTTTCTTCATCTTTCTTTAAAGATCTAAGAGCAGTTGGACTAAAGAAAGGGATGTTTTTCAATCCTGACCCTTACCTTAAGATGTCCATTCAGCCAGGGAAGAAGAGCAGTTTCCCCACTTGCGCCCACCATGGGCAGGAGAGAAGGTCTACTATCATCAGTAACACCACTAATCCAATTTGGCACCGGGAGGTAAGGTGACCCTCAGGGGTCTTCTACTTGACAATTAGGAAGTCAACCAACTCCACTTTTTTCCTCTGGACTCTGTGCATCATTGAGCTGTTTATGGGTGTGGGCAAGATGGTTGAGTTATCTAGGGGATCTGTTAGAAAGAGGGTACAGTGAGAATGAGATATTCCCTTCTAGCCAAGGCTAGGTCTAGGATAAGGCATGGGAGGCACTCACATCATGTGCACAATTTAAAGGATGCCAAAAGACTAAGCAGTCAAAATAAATACTTGAATGAAATATATATATATATATATATATATATATATATATATATATATATATATATATTAAATCAATGCAAAAAATTCACAATGAACAATATATCAATATTTGAAGTAAGGACAGGATCGGGCACAGTGCCTTGCATAGCTGTGTTGAACCTTGAAGCATAAGGAAAAATCAGTGATAATGATCCTGTTTTTATTTAAACGTGACATTTTGTTCTAGCATATATTTAGTACAAGTTAAAGGAATTTCTCTGCCTACAGACTTTGGCAAATGTTTTTTGGATTTCTAGATTTCAGTCAATTAAATGAGTGATTCAAAGAGTTGTCATCTTCATTGAGGCCAGATTGTGTTGGTGGTACTTTAGACAGCTACATTATGCTTCCAGTCATCTTAGTGCACCATGTCAAGGGAATCAAGCAAAGGGTTTTTTCATTAGAACTACGAGAAGTCAAGGAATGAACAGAGACATCATTTCTCATCTAGCAAGCAAAGCATGAGCTCTCTCTCTCGCCATTTCTTGGGTCCCCAAGACACATTTCACATACTAGTGTTAGAATGTTTCTGGGTAAACCTTTATTGGCTTAGGAATTACATAATTAATTAAATCATTCCCTAAATGTTTAATGACAATAATGTTTTAACATTGTTGTAGAAATATTTCATTGGGGAGAGAGATAATTCAGCGATCCTAAAACCAATTGAAGAAAAGATACTGCTATTTGAGACTTGTCAGCATAGCGAGTTGTTTCTCATGGGCTGTTCTTATGATTATTTAAATAGATAAATGCGTGTTTTCTTATTCCTGGTTTTCAAGAGTAGTAATTATTATCTCCAAATAATTTTTAAAGGTATACAACCTAATTTAACACATTAGAAGCCTAGAAGACATAGTATTGATCTCAATGTGAGCTCTAGAAGGCATATAGGGATATAGTAATGACATCAGCAATAACTTTATTTTCCTCAAATTTAATATTTACAAAGATGTTAACCATGTTACCAGTGCAAGCCTGATTGGGCGGGGGAGCAGTATAAGGGATGAAATTATCATCTTTCCATTTTTATGATTAAGAAAACTGAAGCTTAAAGTGTTTATGTAACTATTTAAGGCAGAAATAGTGCTTAAACTCATATCTCTTGTTCTAAGCAAGTGCTTTTTTCATTAAGCAGATTACTAAGGTTCATGGCCCTTTGGAGAACTTTAACTGTTACCACTAAATAAACTTAGTAATGCTTTATTCACACCACTGTGATTGTATCGATACCATCAGGGAGGGAGTGAAATGACTCAGGTTAGATTCCTCACACCATCACTTACTTTTCCTGAGATCCTCATCGTTAAAAAGAAAATGCTATGTTTGTAAAGACAAAATGAAGGTGGTATATGTGAAAGTCTTTGTAAATGAGTAAAGCTCTTTATATTTATTTTATATCCTTATTAATATCCAATACCATTTTATCCAATGGTTTTCTTAAACAGAACAACAAAGCTTATCTTAACCTCATACTTCTATTGTTCAGTCCCAAAAGAAATGACCCTGTGTGCCTTTTAAAAATTAAGTAATTTCCATTTAAACGTTGTTTTATTTTGATATTTACCAAGGAAACCGTAGAATCCTGTAGATGTTCCTACTCTAACCAAGTGAAGAAGTATTTTAACCTATGTTGTGCGACTTCAAAATGCTGTGGGATCAGGAATTAAAATGGCCATTAATCAAATATATTGGTTAATTTGAAACCATCCTATAGTAGGGTATTGAATTGAAGAATTAAGCTACAATAAATGTAGTGAGTACTAAGATTGTATTCTGCACAATTTAATATTTGATAACATCTCCTAAAACTGTTGAACCAGGAGGGGTTGGATGATTAAAGGGGTTTCCTTTTTCATATAGGTCCTTAACTGTTGCTTTTTAATAATTGTGAATGTTAATGATTCTGAGTGAATAAAGGATTGACAATAGCTGCAGATATTTCTAGCAATGTGGAACTGTATGTCATTAGGATTTAAGAGACACCATTTTCTATAATAATAAATGATATAATTTCATATTTTTTGTTCGAATCAACATGTTAATCTGCTTTTGTTTTCAGAAATATTCCTTTTTTGCACTTCTTACTGATGTCTTAGAAATTGAAATTAAAGACAAATTTGCCAAGAGCCGTCCCATCATCAAGCGTTTTCTGGGGAAACTAACCATCCCAGTCCAGAGACTGCTGGAGCGGCAAGCCATCGGGTAATCAACCCTCACTTGTAGGGATCATGGTGACATTAGTTTGTACAGAAGCAACTGAAATGACACTTTCATTTTCAGCCCTGGGACTTTTGTTACTGATAAAAAGTGATAACATAATTCTTTTAAAAATGAAAGTGCTCGTATACTTATTAAAATGTGCAGGACAAAAAGCACTTTGTTTTTTATATATATATATATATATATATATATATATATATATATGTATCTATCTTTTCCAAGATTTACCTACTACTGGCATTTCAGCACCAAATGTCATAGTGTTCAATTGTTTTTATTTATTTATTTTTTAAGATTTTTATTGGGGAATTGGGGGATGGGAACAAGCGCTGGGGAATTGGGGGAAGGGGAACAGACAAGTTGCTGTCCTTTTGGTCTTCAGTCCAGTTGTGGAGGACGTTGCTTCATTGGCCCAAGTTGGCACCATCATTGCGCTCTTCCTGGGCGAGTCGTCGGCTTCTGGACGGCCTCTCACTGCAGCTGCTGGCTGCTCATGCTGGCTGCTGGCTACACACGGTAGCCCATGGCAACCCATTGCAGCAGGGGCTGCAGCCTACGCCGTTGCTGGCGACTCCCAGCAGCCCAGCTCCAGGTTGAGCTGTTGTTCAGCATCTTAGCTGTAGAGGGCAGTGTCACTGGCCCTCATATGTGGGGTCTGAACTGGGGCCCTCTGGCGTCCCAAGCCAGCTCTTAACCAATGCGCCACTCGGGGGGCCCCAATTGTTTTTGAGTATATTGAAATCTTGCTATAAAACTGAAACTAATTAAAATATATATATATTAAAGCAAGATTAAAAATTTTAAAAAAAGCCTCTTCCTAGATCAAGATCCTTGTATCAGGTTGACACCTCTCTTATCCTGATTAATCCCATCCAGAAGACTTGTTATTCCAGAAAGACAAAAGCCACCATGTTTTGGGGCCATTTCAAATAAGACCTAGACTCTGAAAAAGTATTAGAGTAGAGCTTTGAGACGGATGTACTCATTCAGACCACTAAAATTTACTTTTGATGTGTTTTCTTTCTGTGAGCTTTCTGTAAATTGTGAATAAAGTAGTTAAGAAATCATAGCATGCCTCCATCCCTTATTATAAATGCTATATACATTTTTGCATAGTGAGTACCAGCAAACTCAGCATCATTGATGCTCTGAAGGAGCACTGGGGGACAACTTCTTGGATCTTTTTCTTTGTGGGAGAACATTATGATCATGTGGTGGTGGTGATGGTGCTGCTTGCTGCTGCTGCTGCTGGTGCAGTAGTAGTAAACAAAACAGATGCTGAGCATTTAGTCTGTGTCAGGAATTAAGTACATTATACTCATTAGCTCATTTAATCTCAGCTCTGTAGGTAAAGAATGTGATTATACCCATTTCAGAGATGAGGAATCTGAGGCTAACAAGCAAGAAGTGGAGCTGGGATTTCAGTTCAGATCAGTCTGCTCGAGAATATGGCTTCTCTGCCACACCTTAAGGACTGCAAGGTGTTGTATGTAATAGTGCTCGAGCTGACTGAAGAAGGTGGATCATTCTATTCACTCTGCAGCTGCTTAACTATTCCTCACAGCTTCCTTGGACATTCATTTCCTTACTTGAAAAATGAAGCATTTAAACCAGATGATCTCTAAGGCCCCTTAAAAATCTGAAACTAAGAGATTCTGATAGATTCTAATTCTCTGGCCATCAGAGGCAATGGAATTTGTGCTTGAGCCAGTCCACATGAAGGATAAATATTATACTGAAATTCTAGCAACCTGATTTATCTGATAAAAGCTAGGAAATCACAATTTTGTTTTGTTTTTAAGATTTTTTTTTTAAAATTGGGGAATTGGGGGAGAGGAACAGCCTTGGAATTGGGGGAAGGGGAACAGACAAGTTGCTGTCCTTTTGTTCTTCAGTCTAGTTGTGGAGGACGTTGCTTCACTGGCCCAAGTTGGCACCATCATTGCACTCTTCCCGGGCGAGGCAGATCAGTCGCCGGCTTCTGGATGGCCGCTCACTGCGGCTGCTGGCTGCTCACGCTGGCTGCTGGCTACACACGGTAGCCCATGGCAACCCACTGCCGCAGGGGCTGCAGCCTACTCCATCACCGGCGACTCACAGCAGCCCAGCTCCAGGTTGAGCTGTTGTTCAGCATCTTAGCTGTGGAGAGCAGTGTCACTGGCCCTCATATGTGGGATCCGAACCAGGGGCCCTCTGACGTCCCAAACCAGCTCTTAACCAACGTGCCGCTCAGCCGGCCCTCACAGTTGTTTTTAAGGATAACAGTTGTTGCTTCCAGTAGAAATAATGTACTTTGGGAAGTTTTTTAAAGTTATTTTTAGGATTTATAGAAAGTGAAAGATTATGAAGAGCAAGAATTATCTACGGCAAGTATACCTACCATTTAATTTATATAACTATATAATTTGCACAATAGAGATGACATTAGGTAGAAGTGTCAATTTATGTATGCCAGTAAGAATGATCAAGGAAAAATAAAACCTTATCAATGCTTGGGCCTGTTGTTGACTTGCCGGCTTTTCATTTAGTCTTTTAAAGAACTGGACACCTAGAGCCCTGCCAGGCATGGATTCCATGTACTGGAAAGAAGTCCGTCATGAACTTGTGAAATATCAAAATTACGAAATATTTCTATATAAGTCCATTAACAGCGTTGCCTGATATAGGTACTTAGGGGTTTGCTGTATTAAATAAGAATGATACATGCTACATATTAGTACATCAGACAGTAGCACCTCAATACACATTTCTGACCTGATTATTGTTTCCCAGCTAGTAATTGATATGTCTTGAAAAATGCTGGGTTTTCATTACTTATGAGTTTGGTAGACTTCAACTATCTGAAGCAGTTGACGTTTTACAGGGTACGGTTTTATGGTGGGGCTGGAATGCATTGCTTATTACCTATTTTGAGAGCATTGTTTTTTGAACCTGACATTTTCCTGAATGGCTTGCATTCTGTCCAAAAAGCACATCACTCTGATTACATCAGTCAGGTAGTGAGAGTTCTTTATAATTATATATCATGATAGTATATAATATATTGTTCACAATAATGTGCCATAGCAAGAGGCAGGATGAGTCAGATGAAACTAGGTAAGAACAAGAAAGCAGGTGAATCCCCTAAACGGCATTCAACGAAAGGTGAAACCCTTGGCTCAGAATCTCCAAATATGGAGGATTTCCTGTCTTTATAGGTTGACTAGTGGAATTGAGTATCTTGTCAGTTGGGTTAATAAACAGCACTAGCACCTGTTAAAATTCCTGTAAAAAGTCTCATTTGTTAATTAACATATTCAACAAGTGTGTGTGTGTGTGTGTGTGTGTGTGTGTGTGTGTGTGTGTGTGTACGTACATACATAGCGTCTACTAAATGTTTAGCACTGTGTTGGGTATTGGAGATGTGATAGTGAACAAAACAGATGGATGTAGTTCTTTCCTTATAATCCCTACCAAGTGTTTATTTCCTAGCTAAAATCCGTCACTTCTATAAATCTTCATCATTAATACCAACATTTTTATTGGCCAAGGAGGAGAAGAAGAGGGTCAATTCATTTTTAACAAAGAAATAAAGATTGTATTATTCCAGGACTGAAAACCCAAAGAGATAGGTGATAAACCACCATGTTGAGCACAGGTCCACGTAATTTGCTGCTGGGTTCATGCACTGGTGGACAGAGATGGAGCACTGTGCGTGTCAGGCACTGTTCAGATGCTGAGAAGATAGGGGTGAAAGAAAGAAAAAGACACCCCTGCTCTTGTGCAGATTACAACCTTTATGTAACACTATTTGAACACTGATATCAGAGCATTTAGTATTTCTATAATGTCTAATAGTTACAAATGCCTACATATCCCTTTATAGAAAAAAATTTTTAAATACAAGTTTAAGTAGAAAGAGCATTATGATAGCAATCACACTGAAGTGAGTCATGAGTAAATACATCATTAAAATACATACTACTGATAGCAACCTAGAATCTCTGAGATTTTACATAAATGGGATTGTGATATGGTCACAGCAGAGCTGGGGCTGGCTTCTGTGTTCGACGAATTCATGTTTTAATCCTGGTTCTGTTACTTAATAGTTGTCTAGCTTTGGGCAAGTGACTTACCCTCCCTACACCTTCATTGCTCTTCTGGAAAACAGGGCTACCGCCTCTCTCACGGGGTTACTGGGAGGATTAAAAGAGATGATGTATGCAAAGCCCTTAGCAGAGTGTAAGTGACATGCAGTAGGCACTCCTTTTGCAAAACAAATCATTTTAAAAGCATCACTCAAGAAAAAAAGTTATTTCCATGTTTCTAGGGAACAAAACTAAAAAGGTAAAGGATATAATCTTAACCGTTTTATGAAATTCTTGCTATGAAGTCAAAGAAATTCATAAGAGCTGAACTGGGATTATACCTTAGCATGTGTTCTTTGAAGTGGCTAATGTCTATTTAGAATTGTAGTGAGAAGGTAGAGAAGAACAAACAAATAATTAGGCAGATGAATAACACATTTATTTAGACTAGAGGCTCTAAACTGTACTGTGGTGCCAATACGAGGTAGAGGCGTAGTGTTTCCCTCCTGAAGTTGCCATTAGAGGGCAGTGTGAGAGCAGAGATGGTATGATTTGGTTCTATGCCTTTGGTGATTTTCCTTAATTCAATGTAAATCAGATTTGGAATGAAAGTTGCTTGCAATACAAAGAAATAATGTAATTGCATTTGACTTTGATAAATAAACACGGAATTGAAAAAGATGGACAGCCCCATCCTTGAGAAGGCTGGTAGCCTGGGCCTGGGGCCAAGGTGGGGCAGAAATGGGGCAGGCCTATTTGTGGTCCATTCCAGCACGCCTCCAAGTATGGCAATAAGGCACATGTAGCTTCTTCCAGCATCCCATCAGTATCTCTCACAAGTCACCCTGAGAATCACTGATGGCCAGGCTCCCCGACAGTGAGAGCCAACAGCTCCAGCCCCCTTACTTTATAGGTGGGGAAAGCAAGGCTCAAGGGCCCCCAGTCCCTCCCACCTGGAGCAGCTGCCGGGTGTGGCCTGTTCCCATGCTGCTCTCTCCTGATTCCCAGCTCCCATTCTTTAGAATGCAGCAGCGCAGTGCCCGCCACACCAGCGCTTTGTGTGTCCTTTCAGAACCAGCTTCCTTCCACGTGCAATGCTGAGGAACCAGGCCTCTATACTTTTACACCCGACTCCAAAGATACCTAAAATTTTAGGCCTTTCACACCGATGACTTTCAAAATGTCCTTTCCCTGGTCCCCCTTAGTAGTGAGAGAGCAAATCAGTCCCTTTTTTAAAAACAAAACAAAACATATAATAATAGTGTAGTGCATTTTCTGCTTTTAATAATAATTTTTCTTAAGACAGGATTTCCTCTTATCCCTGGATTTATTATAAGTATTCACTTGTGCAAATGAATAGTATTACATTGGACTCTAAGGTGCTTTTGAGCATTTTAGTTTTATGAGTCTGAAAGTTTTAAGAGAAATGTGTAGGCTTTGGGGGCGGCCTGTGGGAAGAAGACAAAGGCTGTCAGCAGTGTAGTAAGGATGAAACAACCATTTCTCCTCTTGCAGTGATCAAATGCTCAGCTACAACCTTGGTAGAAGGCTCCCAGCTGACCATGTGAGTGGCTACCTCCAGTTTAAAGTGGAGGTTACGTCTTCCGTGCATGAAGGTGAGATATCTGTATAAATACATTGCTGTCGGAAAACTTGTAAGTCTTACTCTGCTGTCAGGGTGCATTTCGATAGAATTACATTTGTACCCTGTTCTGAAAATAAAATAGCTATCAAAACTCCTGCTGGTGTTTTCCAAGCAGATATGAATGCTTGTTTATCAAAATGTATCTGCTAGGTTTATGCCCACATTTGGAAACGGGGCTGTAGAATTTCTAGCAGTAGTGAACATATATACCTCACATGTCAAGTGGACCAGAAGTATGCTTGCTTGTTTAGTGGTGAGCAGTGAATCTTAGCAAGTCAGTAATCCTGTAAAGAGGCCTCATTGGGATGAGGGAATTCTTTGAGCTGATTGGTGGCAAAGTAATAGGACCCTAAAATCATTTGTTATTAGCACTTTATTTTTATAAATGTTTTCTCCTTCAGATGCTTCCCCGGAAGCTGTTGGCACAATACTTGGAGTCAGCACACTGAACGGAGACCTCGGAAGCCCTTCTGATGAGGAGGACATGCCAGGGGGCCATCATGACAGCCCTGTTTGTTCCAATGGACCAGTTTCTGAGGACAGTGCTGATGGGACCCCCAAATATTCTTTCAGGACTAGCTCTACCCTGGAAATAGACACCGAGGATTTAACCTCTACTTCTTCAAGGACCTCACCTCCCAGAGGACGTCAGGATTCACTCAATGATTATTTAGATGCGATTGAACACAATGGCCATCCCAGGCCAGGTGCAACTCCCTGTTCAGAAAGGCCCATGGGAGCCTCTCCGAAACTAAGGAGTAGTTTTCCCACCGACACGAGACTCAATGCCATGCTTCACATCGACTCAGATGAAGAAGACCACGAGTTCCAGCAAGACCTAGGTTACCCATCTTCTTTGGAGGAGGAAGGCGGGTTAATAATGTTTAGCAGGGCATCAAGAACTGACGATGCAAGCCTGACGTCTCAGACAAAGCCAGAAGACAACCCAACGGAGATTGAGGAAGCTTCCACAAATGAAGCTCCTTCCTTTGAGGATAAACCGGAAAATATTCCGGAGCTTACAGAGAACTCTGTACCCTCAGACCCAGCCCCAGATGAAGGTGAAAATGGCCCAGAGTCTCAACTCAATGCTGACCAGGGCAGCACCGAATTGTGTGGCTCTCAAGAGGTAGATCAGCCCACGAGTGGGGCAGACACGGGGACTTCGGACACATCAGGAGGAAGTCGGAGAGCCATCAGTGAGACGGAGTCCCTGGATCAGGGGTCTGAGCCTTCCCAGGTGTCCTCTGAAACAGAACCCAGTGACCCCGCCAGGACAGAGAGTGTGAGTGAGGCCAGCACCAGGCCTGAGGGAGAGAGTGACCTGGAAGGCGCCGACAGCTCCTGCAATGAGAGCGTTACCACACAGTTGTCCTCAGTGGAGACACGGTGCTCATCCCTGGAGAGTGCACGGTTTCCTGAAACCCCGGCCTTTTCTTCTCAGGAGGAGGAAGATGGAGCCTGTGCAGCAGAGCCCACCAGCAGTGGCCCCGCCGAACGGCCACAGGGTTCCATATGCACTCCTGGTTCTTTACCTGTGGTGCACATGCCCAGTGGAGAGGAGGACGGGCCAGGGGCAGAATTGGCCACTTTACCTGACCAAGAAGAGCTGGGGGAGGTCTGGCAGCGGAGGGACAGCCTGGAGGGAGCTGCTGCTGCTGCTTCTGCTGAGAGCCAGCCCCAGGAAGAGGGTGATGCTGGTGGTGCCCAGGGGGCTTGTGAAGGGGCCACTGTTCAAGAGGAGGGCGCTACTGGAGGTAGGGTATAGAAGACAACATGGCCCTTGGCTCAGGCATACCTGCTCAAAGAGAAGTTGTATGGGTTTTGTCCCTTAATGTAAATTATACTGCAGGTCGACTGTCATCTGAATTCTTCACCTTGGGGGTCAATGGTTAGCTTTATTATTATTTTTTTAGTGGATCTTCTATTTCTGAGATAAGCGATCTGTCGATTACAGTCTTCATTCTTAAATAATGAATCTCGAAGCTCTGAATCAGGAGTGCATTGTGGGGACCTGCTCTCCCCAGGAAGATGGCCCGTGGGAGGTGGGGGGGGGCACCCCTGTCCACACAGGCCTGAAGGGCAGGAGTGCATGTGCATGCGCCAACTCGGCACCCAGGGGACCCGGGGCCCAGGGTCCAGTCCCCTGTCTGGGCAGTGTAAAACAAAACAAAAGAAAAACAAACTTAAATAATGACTCTCTGTTGGGAGCTGGGTTTGTAGGTAAAAAACCAAACAGGCCGGCAGCTACAGTGTTAGTGTAACTTGCAGAAGTTTTCAGGTCATTGTGACCTTTAGGTCACTCCTTCTTGCGTAAAACCTTCAAAACAGAAGGTTAATATGTACATTGCATCAACTGTACTATGTTTGCTTTCTGTTTGAATATCCGAGGATGCAAATTTACATATAATGTATTGTGTCTCAATGAATATGGCTCAGTAGAATGATCCCTTTAAGATGTTCTATTATAGATGCATCAAAATGTTGAGGATACTTTCATATGCCTAACGAGCATACTCAGAAATAGGAATGATACTCTGTAATGTATTTTTCTACCTAAAGTATACCCCTTTTTCTTCCTCCTCCATTTTTTTTTGTTTTGTTTTGCTTTGTTTTTGTTTCTTTATCTTGTGGCCATTATGTGACCCTAAAGCATTAGTACATGACCAAGACAGAGGCCAGGGTGGGAAAGATGGGGGAGGGGGAGGGATTGGTGCGGATGGACGTCTCTCCAAAAGACTCTTTTGTGACGAAGCATTCACCTCCTGTTTTCTTTTGTTTCTGGGCTTCATATGGGAAATGAGACTAAAGAGGAAAAAAAGACTAGCCCTAGGATTTATGTTAGGTTTTTAAAATATTTGTTATTAAAGTATAATTGACATATAATACATATTAGCTTCAGGTGCACCTGTTAGGTTTCTTTTTCTATTTTTTTGTTTTGTGTTTTTTTGTTTTTAATTGTTGTGATGCTGAAGGGGAAAACAATGCCTGGGTAACTTTTCACCTTTCATCCTAGGCTCTCCAGCCAACGGCCACCAGCCACTGCGATCGTTGCCTTCTGTGCGCCAGGATGTTAGCCGATACCAGAGAGTGGACGAAGCTCTTCCCCCAAGTGAGAACCTGTTAACTAAAGGGCTCAATTTGATCAAAGGATGCAAGGGTGACAGGACCCAGGGCACCTAAAGGATGGATGCCCGGTCCCTAAGAGGAAGGGATCTGGGGGCTGCCACCTGATGTAACAGGAGTAGTCTGGAAAGTGTTCTGCTGATGACTGCTGTCTGGCACAGCCAAAAGGCAGCTGGGGGGTACAAAGTACAAAGTAAATACTGTGATGCCTCTGGAGTAAGTAGTGTAATCAGGGAAATAGATCCAGATATTTTAGATAATTGGGTGTATAATAGAGTTTTTTTTTTAATTATGCCAATGGCAGCACAAATTTTGTTAGTAGACGAATTGGTATAATCTCTTGGAAATGCCTCACTCTATGTAATATGCTGCTTTTTATTCGCTTGCGACATTTTAAATCATTAAGTACAGGGTTCTGGGTTTTTTCTTAGGAATACACAGAGAAGTGTTATTAATTCCAGAAATTAGTCTACCATTTATTTGGAGCATGACAATTATCTGGGGATTTGGAAGTTATTTCATTTCTTTTACTTTGAAGAAACACGTAGCACTTACAGGAGAAATGGTTGAGGACTAGGGATGTTGGGAAATGGTTATGCGATGTACAGTCAAAAGTCTGAGTGATGCCCATGGCCAGTCATAATCTGGACATAATTTAAACTCAATTTAAGCTTCTAGAATCCCTGGAAGCAACATTACTCTGTGAGAGCAAAGCATTTTGATGAACAATAAAAAAGCTCAGTAAATACTGCTTTTAAGAACACATTGGAAAATACATCTATCTTCTTGCTTTCCCTTCTTATTCACCCCCTCTACTCACCCATCTTATATGTGATCATGGCAAGAGGCCGACGCCTTTGGCTCTCTGTGTTTTAACAATGATGAGACAGAAAGGGGTGGGAGGAATATGCATTTAAAGGGCTAACATGCTGAGTGGCTAGTGTTGTTGAATGCTGGCAAGCTGAGTGGTACTATGTACAATTTGTCAAAATATTGGCTTGATCCTTTTGAGATTCTATAGTGCGCAGATCTTCCCCTTGTTTGTATATTTGGATAACTGAGGATAGTTACTCATAGGAAACATATTTTAAGCAGTTTTTTAAACATCAAGAGATTAATTAACCATTGTGTCATCTTAGTTAAGTGGGGGAAAATAACTTCCTTATTGTTTTCCCATTGGAGAAAAGATTAGAGGCAGAAAAGAAAAAATATTCCTGGGAGATATTTAGATATAGTTGGAGAAAAGTGAGCTAGGAACACCAGAAGAGAATTCCAGGAGAACAGTGAGTATATGCGTATGTGGATTAATAGTAGTAAATCGAGTTACAGGGACCTGGAGAAGAGGCACAGCATCGTATCGTGTATGGATACATGACACCACCCTGTCCACAACCTGACTTTTGTTGGACTATGATTTTGGTCTCTTGATTGTATTTATTAAAGACAGGTGTTTTCCTAATGAAGTTATGACCACTTGCATTTGTTTAAACACCGATATTTGCATTCCACAGATAGAATACATCTTAGGATTTCAAAAAATATGAACAATTGGTAGTTCATTTTAATAAGTTTATTTATTCAAAGGTAAAAAAACACAATTTAAGGAGTGTCTGATGAGTAGGAGAGTAATTCTTAAGGTAAGTTTCCTCTTATGCAACTTGCAAATGTGGGGATTTATATTAATCATGGATAGGTTACAGATTATGACCTGAGCCTACCTGAGGAGTGTCAGCTCTGTCCCCACACTGCTTTGCCCCTCCTATTCTCAGTCTGTCTCATCCTTCCAACAGTTTATTTAATCACTTGGCTGCCCCTGCTAGTTGTCTGTCCCCACCCCTTTCCTCTTTGGGCAACTCTGCTACGATGTCTGGCCAGGCCTCTGACTTAGAGCTGTGGCATTCTGCAGCCTACACTGTCCTGACCTGCCTTCACAGAGCGCCTTCTGGGCGGCTCAGCTAAGGGGAGTTGGGCTGGATGGCGCAGATTGATCGATCTCCTCAGTGACCTGGCTCAGTTATTTTAAAGCTGACAGTTATACTTTTAACACTATTAATTACAATACCTCACACTTGTGTTGCGCTTTACAATTTACAAAGCACTTTTACATGCCTTCCTTTTTTTAAAACAAAAAAATTTTCATAAGTTTTGTAAGGTAGGTCACACAAGTCTTATCTGTAATTTGTAGATTGATGGATAGACATCAGCTGGTCTGATTGTTCCATTTTAAAGATGAGAAACCACAGCCCAGATAAATTAGTAACTTGTTTAAGATCCCGAACTAGCAAAAGTTGAGGCCGAGTCTCAAACATTCCTTCTCCTCTATCAGGTATTCTGATATGAGATTAGAAGGGAACAGACTGTTGTGTGGGTAGATGAATGTAAATCCTGAGTTTGGTTAGCCAGCAGAGAGGTGGCCTATAGTGCAGTATGTTATCAATTAGGTGCAAGCAACACCTGAAATCAGAGGGTTTGGGATGGAACTGAAAATTTATTATAGTGTAGTTTTGAGGTCAGATCCAGGAAGGCTCAAAAACTACTTTCTTCTCCTTCCTGATTAAGTTTACTCAGCAGGACCTCCCCCCAGGTGGCCCCTCAAGTATAAGAGAAGTGGTCCCTGTGACAGTATGAGCAGCTATCTCGTGGCCCAGCTCGGTTGCTCTGTGAAGCACCTGTATCAGAGTCAGATACAGGTGCCTTTCTCGCTCTGTACCGGCACTATCTCCAGACCCATTGAAGCTTTGTACTTTGGGCTTTGATGACCCCATTCTTGACTCTTCCTTTTTCATTATTATTATTGTTATTATTGTTGTTTTAGCTTATTTTTGCCTTATAAAATAGTTGGGTACTAACATATTGTGAGAAAACCATCCAGCAAACTTCTGCTTCTCTCTGAAGATTTACAAATGCAATTGAGGGGATTCAGTGGTGTTCCTTGCTGTGCCACTTCACACTTACAACTGACCACGTGGTTAGTCCACATGGCAGTGTTACAACTTAGCCTCTGAACACCTATTTGATTGCTTTTTATGGAAAGCAGTGTTCCTTGTTTGTTCACTTCTTCTTCCAGTCTTATTCCTCCTATCTCAGAATCAGGGAACATTATCTTGGACTTAGTACAAAGATTGCTCAGCTGTAATGATGATATTACCAATTGGTTCTCAAAATCTTACTCTTGCTTGAGGCCACGGACCTTGTGCTGTGACCTTATGGGTTGTGTAACTTCAACCACATGTTGAGAAACGTTCTAATGATCCGTAGAAAATAAGAAAGCTCCAGGTCTTGAGAGCAGCATGGCACTGCTGAGAGCCTTCCAGGGAAGCAGCGTGAACTTGAAAATGCACTGAATGCCTTAAAAAGTTGCTGTTTCTTTTTCTGAGGTGATTGATGACACTGGTATCTGGAGGCGATTCGGGGCTGAAGTCTACCAGAATTCATCAGCATGACAGATCTTGGTCTTTTTAGCATTAAGATAAGTGAATAAAGAACGGACAGCTTAGCCCCCTCTGAAAAATTCTTCTATTATTCTCTCATTGGCTCCAGTGTAACTGTGACTTAACCCATTACTGTACTGGAGAAAATGGAATATTGTTCAATACATGTTTTTTCCCCCAAAGGGTAGGAATAGAAATAGATTTAGGACGAACAGTCTGGATTAGTGGACTCTTCTAGGATCCCAGAGTTGTAGGATTGCTACCATGTTGTTAGGACAAATGTATTATTTATGTAGTATGTTCATATTGGTAGTTCTGGAAAAATACAGGGGAACATTTATCATTTTTTGTGGTTGTGCACTTTCATTTTTAAAGCATCCTTTGAAATAAAGTCCTAAAAGGAGGCAGTGAATCTGAAAAACATACTTAATCTTAGGGTTTCGACTATGTTTAAAAGCTAGGAGCTCTTATTTTCTAGAGATTAAAAGTTTTGAGAGAAGAATTGATACATTTAATCTACAAAGCTACATTCATTGAAATTGAAGATTCGGGTGCAAAATATGCAACTATTTGAAATTTTTAAAAATTTTTATTCAAATATAATATATGTACAGAAAAGAGCGCATTCAGCTTGCTGGGTTCTCTCCAGCTGAGTGCACCTGAGCTGAACCAGTGCTGAATCCCTGGCACCTAGAAGTTCCTCTGGTGCCCCCTGCAATCATTAAGCCCCACTCCTGACGGATGGAAGGGGACCTATCATCCCGACTCCAAAAATCATATAAGTTCCAGTTACTTTTGTACTTTATACAAATGAAATCATACTTCCTTGAGTGTTAGAATAAAAAAAAAATCTTTTAAACACTGATGTCTAGCATCTTTCACAAAGCTTTTTTTTTCCCCCCCTTAAAAGTACATTGAGTTCATTATAACTTCACCATCTCACCATTTTGGTGAAGATACCATGGCTATTATAATTTTTTATAGTGGGTTTATAAATTTACTTCACAACATTCACGTACTTGACTTTTTCTGAACCGAATTATAACCAATTCAAGCCCCCACTCATATTTCCCTCACTCCCTTGATTCATGTAGACAGTCTAACTCTGGCTTACCCCGATATGTAATTTATTCTGTCCAGTCACTGAACCTCCCAATCTCGGCATTCACTGAGATATGTTCCCATCTTCATCTGCTCACCCCTTGGGTAAGCATAGGGATGTAGTTCATGAATAAGCATAACTGTCTTTCTCAAGCCAATGCCAAGTATCTATTTGAAACCAGCAATATAGCATTTCTCTTTATGGGGACTTAAGTAACAACCTCAATTTCAAGATATGAGATTTGATAGGGATAGTTATATGCACCAATGCCCCGCGTTCTTAGAAAGCAAATATTCAAACCTTGTTTTCTTATTCTCCCCATTGCACATAGAAATGTCTTGATCGAAATATAAATTAAGGTTATTTCTGGCTTTTGTGGAAAGTGAATACAAATCATTCTTTTTTATGGCTTTACGTTAATTAAATTATTTGTTCATTCATTACATGCTATGTGCAAGGCACACTGGTGAATATATTTGAAGATTCCCCACCATCCCCCTATTTTACTACCCATGTAGCCCTCATACTGGCCACATTTCATGGGGTAAATTCTTATTTAGTTTGTCAAGGAAAAAGTTCCATCTTTGTAGATAATTTTTTTACTTTCTTTTGTCAGAAAATGGAAAGTATGCAACAATGTGTTTTCTGCCTTAACTGCCAGAAAATTTAGCCAAATTATAGTTATAACCTTATCTTGGGAGTTTGGCAGTGTCTCTCCTTCTGCTTCCTTTAGTTGGTGTCTGTTCTGTTTTTATCCCTAGGTGATCTATTCTACATTTTTTTAAAGTTGGAAACTATTATAAACATTCTTGGGGAAAGAATGGCCATTTGTTTTCATGTACATTTGACTTGATATATAATATATGCTTGAATTATCCTAGCTCTAATGAGAAAGGAATAAAATGGGAATAATTGCTTCTCAAAATCTTTGAGATGGGAAAGCATGCAAGGAACAGAGCAAAACCATGGAACAGATCAAAGTGTTTTGGAAAACGGTTCCGGAAAAATGCTTTCATAGTTCCACAAATTCTTTTGGAAATGTCCTATTGACGGGATTATAGCTGTGCCCAAAGAATTCAGATTTGGCAGGCTGGTTTATTGTGAGTCTGTGTTGCCTTGGAGCATTGAGTTGTATTTTGTCTGTGTGGTGATTTTCCTCGGCCCAATTTTTCTTTTGCCATTTGTCATAAATAACATAGTGAGAACAACAAAAAAAGATCTTTACACTCTCTCTGAGGCAACCCTCAATGATCACCTGGTGCTGGCTGGGGTCTACCATGCAGGTCTTTTCAACCCTAAGGCTTCGTTGGAATACGTGTTCCTTCACCTCCCAGGCAAATGCCCTGGGTAATCAGGAGCCGACATGCCTCCTTCCTGGTTTCCAGGATTAGACTTATAGTGTCTACTGATAAGCTTTATGATCACATGGAGAGTTTTGAAAAAATCAAGATGCTCAGAAGAAAGGAGATTATTAATTTCAAAAAAATAATTTATATACAAATAGAAATATATAAGAACCTTCCTCAAATATATGGTGACAAAAGGAGACAAAACTTTGAGTGATGAGCTCACAATGCAATATATAGATGATGTGTGATAATATGCCCCCCCCCCCCAGAAAAACTTTTCTGGTTAAAGAATAGATCTACCTTATTTTCATATGTTCCTATATAAATCACCCTTCCCAACTGTAATTAGTTTTAAAATTTTGCCTTTTTAAAACATTAGCTCATGCTCTGTGTATTTTAATAGGGGAATAGTCTTTTCTAGAGTCACAGTAGTAGAACGTCTGGCTTTTAAGATCTGTCTGCTTGCTGTTTTTACTGAACATGCACTTACATATTTGTTTACAAAGATTAACACACTTCATCAATATGATTGCTTAAACAAAAAATACAATAATCTTTTAAAACATTGTATTTATTTGAGGTTGGATGCAAGCAATTACCCTTGCTCTGAAAATGTATTCACCTTTGGGAAAATGCAAATAAGTGTGTAGATAATGATAGTGTTTGATGATGACTAGGCTAGCATTATTTTCTTCTGAAGATTCCATTTACTAAAATTGTATATAAATATGCATGTGCACGTTTCCAGTTAGGAATCTGTCGTCTAAACTGGAAAAATCAGAGAAAAAAATCAATTTTCAGTGAAAACAAACATCAGTACCAATTTTGATGTGAATATCTAAAGTATTATGATACTATTTGTATTTTTTAAATGCTGGTGCTCATCTATGAAGGGTGAGCATGGTGAGCAGATCTGGAAGGATTCTCTACATTCAGAGTTTTTTTAAAGGGTTGGCATTATATGTAGAGGAGATGTTTACTAACCCATCACAACAGATGCTGTTATGGACTGAGGGGAAGTGCCGGATTATGCAGTGAGATATATGTTATTAGCCCCAAATTATAGCATGTCAGAGAGGGAAAACACGTGCTGAACTTAATGAACCACATAAATGGCCTCAGCTCCTCCTCTAATCCCTCTGGATGCATTCATTCCTTCTGTTTAGACTGGGAGGCGCGCATAGACAGCCATGGCAGGATCTTCTATGTGGATCACGTAAACAGAACCACGACGTGGCAGCGGCCAACAGCTCCCCCCGCCCCGCAGGTGCTGCAGAGGTCCAACTCCATACAGCAAATGGAGCAGCTGAACCGGAGGTGAGGATAGGCATTTTTGCTATGACTGTTCTGTTTTGTGGTTGGGCTAATTTTTACATGGCGCAAAGTAGAAAACACGGGTTGTCTCTCTTTCATCTTTGGACGTCCTGTCATTAAGGTGTAGCTGTTAACCTCTTTTGATTCATAAGTTGCATTGAACTTCTCTGGGTTAAAAAACAACAACAAAAAACCACATACACAGCTGGTTTGGAACCTGGGGAGGAAATAAGTAATGATGACCCTTTTAGTCAATGTAAGGCAATGATTTTTAGTAAAACAGAAAATATACCTTTATAATTTCAAGCCAAATAGCTTTTTAAATATCTAGACTCTTCATTTGTGATGCATCTTTATTATCAGCCTAAGCTTTTAAAATCTGTCGTTCTTTTTCAAGAACTAATTGCTGTGGAACAGAGTTGTTTTTGTTGTTTTTTTAACAATAGAGGAATTTAGTTTTCTTTGGTTAAGGGCCACAGTTTTTAAAAAAACAAAATGTATTAATTTGTTAGGAAAATGTTCCACAAGCAATGGACAGAGGAAATTCAATGGAATGTAATTTACTTAAACAGATGGCCTAGAAGATCAGGGAATGGAGGTTTGGGGAGGAAATGGTTGATGCTGGGAAGATACTGAAAACTTCTGGGTGGTGGAGAAGCAGTTGAGTCCCACATTTTAGAGGCCGCTGTGATGTAACTCTAGGCTTATGATTTTAGATATCAGAGCATCCGCAGAACCATGACTAACGAGAGGCCTGAGGAAAACAGCAATGCCATTGATGGGGCAGGGGAGGAAGCCGATTTTCACCAAGCCAGTGCAGGTAAGAGCCTTTGCATTGGTTTGTCTTGTAATCTCCTAAAAGTAGAAAACAAATAAGTAAGGATTCCCACGAAATGAGGCTTTTCTTGTAGAGGACTTTTGATCTTCAATCAGACCTGGTAATGCAGCTCAAAAAGTAGAATTCACCAGAGACCTCTTCTAATCCTTTTTAGTTGTACTAAGAATCCCCAAACCAAATAGAATATGAATTACTTTTAACCTCTGGATCTATGAGATAGTGGGAAAAGATTGAATCTGACCACTTGCAGCACTTAAGGAGGCCTAAAAATGCTAATAGTGACTGGAAATATTCAATGGCATTTTAGTGTAATTAAGAGCCATCATGTTTTATGTGTGAATGTACATCAAAGGAAAAAGTGTTTGGGGGTTGAAGTAATAGCAAATGGTGTAGGGATACTTAGATGGGAGTGAATAGATATGTCTTGTCCTCGTGGAAAGCTCTCCGTGAAAACCTTTGTGGTCTGGCCCACCTAGATTTCCGCCGGGAGAACGTCCTACCCCACTCTACCTCCAGATCCAGGCTCACGTTGCTGTTACAGTCTCCCCCTGTGAAGTTCCTCATCAGCCCAGAGTTCTTCACTGTGCTGCATTCTAACCCTGTGAGTATCAACTCTGAACGTAGGTGCTGGAAAAAGCCTCAGACCAAAGGAAATGATCCTTGTATGTGTAGTGATCATAAGGGAGATAGTAGCTCATGTTTACTGAGCGCTAAGTGTGTTCCAAGCTCTGTGTTAAGTACTATGTATGTTTTAACCCATTTAGATAAACAAAGCTATACATTAGATAAAACGTCCATCTTTCCAGATGAAGAAACTGAGGCACAGAGAGGTTAACATTCCCAAGGTTATACAGCTACTAAGTGCTATCAATGCGGTTAAAATCCCAGAACTAAGTGGTGTCACTGGGGTTAAAATCCCAGAGCCCATGCTCTTACCACTTTATTTTGCTGGCACAGATATAACTAAATATCTTCACATTGACGGCAGGCCGTGGTCAGATCGGGCTTTAGGATTGTGGTATAGGTTCTCCAAAAGAAATAATTTAAATTTACACATTGCTGTCATCTGAAAAATAAATCAGTCAAGAGAAGACTATTTTAAAGATATATGAAGTTTGTATGGAAGATCAGGGGGGTTTATTTGTTTTGTTTTTTGGTCGGGGAGCTATGGTGATTTGTTCAGGATGAAGTGCATTCACATTTCCCTCCTTTAGCTAACGTGTCTCTTCTTTAGAAACCCTATGTCTATGATTTCACTAGATGCCAAAAAATGTTCATATCATCTGGAAGAATAAATCTTTTGTTAACCAGAAGGTTGTAAGAAACTTCAGATTTTGAATCAGTGATCTAAATAGAGAGACACCATTTTGACTCTCTTTTACCTATTTGCTTTCATTTCCTCTATCCCTCACCTTTAACCACAATTCTGCCCTTTTCCTGATTTTGGTTCCTTAACCAAGAAACCCCCACAACCTGCCCCTCCCCAATGAAATTCTTATGACAACCAGTTTCTCTAACTCTGCTACTCACGAGGTCATTCCCCACATTTATTTTGGAATTACAACCTGGAATGGAAAATCTTTATTTTACTCAGGAAATATTAACTTCCTGGGGGAACTAGGGCATATTAAGTCCATGGGTGACTGGAAAATATTGTACATCTATTTTCTGGTCATGAAGTATGATAGTCAACAAAAATGTTTCTAGAAAAAAAAAGAGAAGGTTTTAAAAATATTATATAACATGCTAAAATATTTTTGAAGACAAAAATTAGTGTTATAGGAAAAGTTAGTTAGAAAGCATTTATTTGTGATGTGAATCTTAAGTTGGATCACAGAATAAATAATGGACATTGGTTGGTGAAAATAGGCTAGGAGGGCCTTCTAGGTGGAGGACATGCATAAGCAAAAATAGAAGTGAAAAATGTGCCCTATGTGCATAATAATTTATTTCATTCAACCAATAAATATTCCTGGAAGCATGGTTTATGCTAGAAATTATGGTAGGTAGGGAGTACGATAAAGTTCTTGCCCTAGGATAGACAAAGAACAAGGGCAGCTTTAGAAAGATGGTTACAGAATGCCTCTCTGAAGACACAGTTTTGAGTTGAAAGCTGAAAGCTGAGAAATCAACCGTGGAAAAAGCCCAGAGAAGCTTATTTCAAGCAGCTGAAAGAGCAAGTGCAGGGACCCCAAGACTCTGAAAAGAGCAGAAAGGCTGCTGTGTAGTGAAAGAAAGAAGGAGTGACGTGATATTAGGTTAGAAAGACAGCAATATCCAGATCATAGATCTGGCTGTGAGACGTGTGAGGAATCTGGATTTTATTCTGAGACCAGTGGGAAACCATTATGCACTTAGTGTAACATGCTCGAATTTGGAAACTGTAGAAAGGCAAGCGTGAAAGCAGAGTGATGAAAACGAAGACTCTTCCATGGCCTGGGGAAAGACAGTGGTGCCTGGAACCATGATGCTGGCATGGAGCTGGAGAGAAGTGCATGTATTCAAGAGAGGTTTTGAAGGTAGAATCAATAAGACTTGGTGAAAAATTGGTTGTTAGAAAAGAAACAGATACCTGCATTTAAAAAAAAAAAGAAAAAGAAAAGAAAAGAAACAGATACTTTTGGTGCTTTGGTCTGACAAAGGATTAAATCTTGTTGGATCAGTGGTGCTATGGATCAGTGGTGCTAATGTGGGAGGAAACAGCTGTACATTTGACAAGGTATGAGGCAGACACAAAGAAAGGGGTTTTGTGTTTCTGGAAGGTGTATGGGTATAACACAGTGGACCACGGGGATTACTCCACAAGTCTCTGAGGGCTGAGGGAGTGGCCTGCTGAAGATATTAATTCGAGGATGACTGTATTAGCTGCACATGGAGTGATTTCGAACGAGGGAAGCACTGGCCATATAAGTAAAGCTGTAAGAACTTGCACCGGGAGGTAAGGAAATAGAGAGGAAGGATCCAGCATGCGAGGAATCCCAGGCAGAGAACTGCAAGGTTTGGTGGTAAATAGATAAGAAGCGAAAGAAGATGACTCTGAGTGTTAATAATAATAATAGTACATAAATAATAAACAATAATACATAATTAATGAATAATAAAAGGAAAGTTGAAATGAGAAGCCTGGTAAGGGAATGGAAGAACATATTGAATTTAACAAAACAAATTATATGCCTTAGGAGAAATGGAGTAGGCTATAGGGAAAAGGAGAAATCAGCATCGCCCTATTACCAGGAGTTGTTGGTGAGGTTGTTATTGTGTACATGTTTATTGATGTTAAGGTATTTCTGTCTTGTTTCATTAGCTTTGCTTTATAAGTATAAGCATCTGTCTGGCTTTACTGCTCATTATCTCCTGGTTCACAGGTTTAGCGTAGAACAGAGGAGACGTGGGAGGAGGGTGAGCAATGAGTAGCATGTTCGCTGGCCTGGTTTCATGCAAGAGGAATTAGACTTACTGTGCATTCAATTTAGCAATAGTTTGTTGATTTCCTGTTATGTCCTAGGCGTTGTGTTAAGTCCTTAAGACACAAAAATGGCAGCAACTGTGGGTCCTGGAGTCCAGACTTGAAAACACATTCCAGTGTAATTAGCAGAGTTATGAATGCAGTAATGGAAGGCTGTAAAAAACAGCCTGATGGAGTGAGTGACTAACTCTGGGGGGAAGGACACATGGGAGGAGCCATAGATGGGTTTGCATTTGAGATAGGTTTTAAAAGCTGAATAGGAACTTGTCCTAGAAACACAAAGGGTCAGAGCATTCTACATAGTCTAAATGTTAGCCCATTCTTCTTTGCATTCTACGTAGAAGGAGCAGCATTTGCAAAATGAGAGACTCAATTTATGAAGTTGCAGGGCTGTCTTGATAATTGCTACAGAAGTACTGAAACTGGATTATTAGTATAGCAGTTTGGTGTGGCCAGTGTGTTGAGAGCATGGGACAGCAGCGAAAGTCGGACTTGAGCCCAGAAAGGTAGGCAGATGCCAGGTTAGGTGACACTAAACTCATGTCTGGGACAATTCTAGGAGATGATAGGCTGTCCTGCAAGGAAAAATGGGCTAACATTTAGACTTGTCACTCTAAAACAGAAAGTATTATGCTGGGGTGGGAAGAACTTTGGACTTGAAGTCGGATAACACAAGTTTTCCTTTGTTGTTTGTTCATTTGTCATACATTATTCAATGAACACAATATTTATTAAACACCTATGATTTGCCTACATTCTAGTGTCTGGGGGTAGAGGGGTAAACAAGAGAGACAGAGTGGAATAAAGATAACAAACTAGTGAACATGAGAAGATAATTCAATCAAGGTAGTGCAATGTGGCATGAGGCAACCGAAACAGTACAGGTGCCTGGACTGGGGTGATTTGCAGACAAGTTACTAGAGGCACTGGCTTTAGAGCGGGTGGATGGGGAGACCTCTCCAAGGGAGCCAAAGTCAAGCTGTTGTAAAATATCAAGAAGCCACTAAGCTAAAATCCTGGGAGCAGGACCTCCCTTGCCAAGGAAGAACAAAGGCTTGAGGGCACGGATGAGTTTGTTATACACAGTAAGGGCAGAGAGGTGAGCCAGGCTTCTGAATGTAGGGCTCGTAGGATCTGGCATGGGGTTTAGGCTTTATTCTAAATGGAACGTATTCTAAAGGGATTTCCTACAAGGGTGTAGTCTCGACTTCTAAAAGCTCCTTCTGCCTGCTATGCTGAGAATGGGTTTTGAAGGGCAAAACTTCTTTTGCTGGCCAGCCCTTCTTGATTTTATTTTAAATTATAAATATTGTAGTATTATTATAGTTTACATACACATGAATTTCCTTTATATTTCAACCATTAATAACAATATCAACTACTAACAACTTTTGATTCTTTATATGAGATAGGCATTGTGTTTTCTGTCCATTATTTTATTTAATCCACAGAACAACCTCTTTATCCATTCTTTCAGCCATCAACCATATTTGCTGAGCATCAATGTACCAGTTATCATTTTATCTGCTCTCATGGAACTTATATTGTTCTGGATAAAATGGTCAATAAGCCTGTAAAGCCCTTCTTGATTTTAAAGTATTCTTTCTAAAACATTTTTGTTTTCTTCCTCTAATCTGAATTGCATTCGTGACTGGCTAAAAAGATGATCCATGCTGTGCGTCTGTGCATAGCTATAAGATTTAAATTCTGTCGCGTTTAGAAAGGCTTTTTTCTCTGATTTATGTATGGCAGGAATTAAAGTAGCTAGATTTTTCTTGCTAATGGTCTCAAGGTATGAATTTATGAGGATAAGTCAGCTGTTTTTTTGCTTTTTTATTATGATTTTTTTTGTAAAGGGCAAAACTTTCTGGAATTTTTTCTTTTTCCTAGATTAGCGGAAAATGTTACAAAACAAACTTTTATTTGGTTTCCTTGTTTTAAGATTTATTATCTAGCCCTTTTTTTTGCTTGAATTGTTTCTGATCTATAACTGTGTCAGTAGATTCCCTGTTTATATTATTGAAAATGTGCAACATACAAAAAGAGTATATTCTTTTAAAAGCTTTTCTAATTCTCTTTTTTTTGTTATCTGAAGGTATCAGTTTATGTTGTAAGCTAATCATGAAAAATAGATT